TAATTTTATTTTTTTATTTTTCTATGTCTTTTTGTTTTGGAGTACTGTAATAAAAAGTCCCACTTGATTTTGCTTTTTTAATCACATTTCTCAAATGTTTGAAAATTTCCTGGCTTGCCCTAGATATAGGCAATATTTTCACACGTTTCAAATGTCTGACAGGTTCATTTTATGAGTACAAGGTGAAACTATACACTAAATAAATGCTGACCTGATTAAGCTTCCAGCGGCAGACAGCCATCCTGACATTAACGTCAGAACCTTTTGTGAAAAAATTAGGTATATATTATCATTTTGAGTTTTGCACTGTATGAGTCATATTTTAAACAAGTCAGAGATAAGTGCCTTCCTTTTAGTTTGAATTCCCAAGAGGCAGAAAATGGAATGTTTTTGGTCTGCAAACAATCTTGTGTACAGAACAAAGCCTCAGACAATTGGTATTGTAAAGGCACATCGTATGTTTACCTGGATTATAAGGGGGGAATAGAACATTTGGGCAAGACTGGGTTCAGATCAGGAGACATACTTGGCCACTGAATTACTTTCACCCTGTTCTTCTTCGGAAATGCCACAGTGGCCTTAGATGTGTGTTTTGGACCATTGTCATGTTGGAAAAGTGCGCGACAACCAAGGGCACAGAGTGATGGTAGCACTTTCTCTTTCAATATAGAGCAGTACATCTGTGAATTCATGACACCATAAATGAAATGCAGCTCCTCGACACCAGTAGCAGTCATGCAGCCCCACAGAAGGACACTGCCACCACCATGTTTCCCAGTAGGCACCATGCATTTTTCTTTGTACTCCTCACCTTTTGGGCACCATACAGTTTTGAAGCCATCAGTTCCAAAAACATTTATCTTGGTCTCATCACTCCAGAGTACAGAGTCCGAGTAGTCTTCTTTTTTTTCAGCATGGGCCCTGGCAAATTCTAGGCAGACTCTTTCGTGCATGGGATTTAGAGAGGTTCCTTCATGGACAACACTCATGCATGCCATTCCTCTGCAGTATACGCTGTATTGTGTCACGGGGAAACAATCACCCCAGTTTGGCTTTCTACTTCTTTAGCTAACTGCAGTGACCTTGCATGGCGATTTTCTTCAATCCTTCTCATCAGAAGATGTTCATATCGAGCTGTTAACTTCCATGGATGGCCTGGAAGTCTCTGTGAGATGGCTGCAGTTCCATCTTTGTTACATTTTTTTATCACTTTTACTACAGTATTATGACTGATAAGTAAAGCTTTGTAGTCTTCACCTTTCTTGTGTAAAGAAATTATTTTCTTTCTCAGACTTTGTGATATTTCTCTTCCATGTGCTGCCATTGCTGACAGCATGAAATAGGAAGGGGTTTTCTTTGTTAAGTAATGCCCTTTTATTATCAACTGTCTGCTGGACACCGGTTTGATGAATAATTAGACTCAACTGTAGTTGAATCTTTGAATTAGGATTTTGTTGTCTAAAATTTAGCTTTGCTCCTAAGACTTTCTTTGGGGTGTATTCATTTTTGCAACATGGTCTTGAATTAATTTGTTAGGAACAATACTTTTTTGTGTGTGCAAATTAACAAATCTTGTTCACAATCAATGGCTTGCATTTGCAGGAGTATTTTGTCATTAAATGTCCCATAGAAAATATTGATTTTGAAAGAAAAGTAAAGGTTTTCTGACAAATCTGTTGAGGTGTACTCATTTATGCCGAGCAGTGTGTGTGTATATATATATATATATATCTATATATACAGTATATCCTTCAGAACTGCCTTAATTCTTCATGGTGTTGTTGTTGTTCTTCATGGTGTTGTTGATTCAACAAGGTGTTGGAAACATTCCCCAGAGATTTTGGTCCATATTGGCATGATAGCATCACACAGTTGTTGCAGATTTGTCGGGCTGTACATCCATGATGCAAATCTCCCATTTCACTACATCCCAAAGGTGCTCTATTGGATTGAGATCTGGTGATTGTGGAGGCCATTGGAGTACAATGAACTCAATGTCATGTTCAAGAAACCAGTTTGAGATGATTGAGATTTTGTGACATGGTTCATTGTCCTGCTGGAAGTAGCCATCAGAAGACGGGTACACTGTAGTCATAAAGGGATGGACATGGTCAGCAACAATACTCAGGTTGGCTGTGGCATTTAAACAGTGCTCAATTGCTACTAAGGAGCCCAAAGTGTGCCAAGAAAATATCCCCCACACCGTTAGACCACCCCCACCAGCCTGAATCGTTGATACAAGGGTAGGATGGATCCAAGCTTTCATGTTGTTTATGCCAAATTCTGACCTTACCATCTGAATGTCGCAGCTGAAATCGAGACTCATTAGACCAGGCAATGTTAGTTATAATCCTATATCCACAGTTGATTCAGAAGGCAAAAAAACCCAGCAAAGCATGATCCAATTTGCTCCTGCAAGGGAAAAAATTCCTTCCTGATCCCCTGAGAGGCAATTGGATATTCCCTGGATCAACTTTACCTATAAATGTTAGTATCCAGTTATATTCTGTGTATCTAAGAAATAATCCAGGCCGTTTTTTAAGCAATCCACTGAGCTGGCCAGAACCAACTCTTGAGGGAGTCTATTCCACATTTTCACAGCTCTTACTGTGAAGAAACCTTTCCGTATTTGGAGATTAAATCTCTTTTCCTCCAGACCTAAAGAGTGGGGCACTCTTTTCCTCCATGATAACCTAAGGGTGAATAACTCTACACTTTTTTCAATCTTCTATTGTCCAACTTTGGTGAGCCTGTGCGAATTGTAGCCTCTGTTTCCTGTTCTTAGCTGACAGGAGTGGCACCCTGTGTGGTCTTCTGCTGCTGTAGCCCATCTGCTTCAAGGTTTGACATGTTATGCATTCAGAGATGGTACTTTGCATACCTTGGCTGTAACGAGTGGTTATTTGAGTTACTGTTGCCTTTCTGTCATCTGAAACCAGTCTGCCCATTCTCCTCTGACCTCAACAAGGCATTTACGCCCACACAACTGCCGCTCACTGGATATTTTATCTTTTTTGGGCCATTCTCTGTAAACCCTGGAGATGGTTGTGCGTAAAAATTCTAGTAAATCAGCAATTTTTAAATACTCAGACAAGCCCATCTGGCACTGACAACTGTGCCACGTTCAAAGTCACTTAAATCCCCTTTCTTCCACATTCTTGAACTTCAGCAAGTCGTCTTCACCACGTCTACATGCCTAAATATATTGAGTTGCTGCCATGTGATTGGCTGATTAGCATTTGTGTTACCAAGCAATTGAACAGGTGTACCTAATAAAGAGGTGGGTGATTGTGTGTATACCATATATATATACAATAGTTAATTTTCTTTCCTCTATGTGTATAACTAATATTTTAATCGTTATATATGAAACTACATGTCTTTGTAGTTGATCATACATTAGTAATGATCAGACTCTCCCCAACATTCTATAGATTTTAGATAAAATACGCTAGTCCAGCTTGTTATAGTGAAATATCAATTTATCCTATAACAGATTATTTTAGGATTTATTTCCCAGATCAATTTAGAATAGACACTACTGGTTCAAGGAGGCAAAGCTTGAGTAAACATGTGAATGGTTATTACACAAAATCACCAATCATAGAGAAGGTTCCATCTACTGGGCCAGGTTTATTCAAATGTTATGAGTGTATATTTCACAACTAAATAAAGCAGGAAGGAGCACACTCACAGAGGCTCATCAGCATATCATCTTCACATACTTCATGAAGACCACAATTCATTGGGACGCAGATCATCTTAAGAGACTTATATAATAATATCATCTGACATCTCACTGAGGCCAGGACACACAGCTCGTAGCATACTAGATGCCATTTTGGGGAAGACCAACTCCGCCCATTAGTCAACAACCATCCTTGGGTCTAGTCATCAGCTATCTAAAAGGTTACCTCATACTTGGAAGGTTATGATAATACATTTTTTGGTGATTTTGCCTGCTTAACCACATCTTATAACAGAAATACTGCTACAGGGCGCCACGGGTGCGGAAAATCACATGTATATATACGTGATTTAGCATTTCCGGGCAGGAGGTATGCGCGAGCCGCACGCGCCCTACCCGTGCCGCCATTCGCGGCAGGTAATTACTTGACAGCGCTGGTGATTTTCGAAGATCTCCAACGGGTAGAGGACCGTTTTGTTTACTAACAGTCCTCCTCCCTGTCAGCTCGGGCACACTGCTTTGGGTGGCTGTGCACAGCACAGTCATCCAGAGCAGTGTGATTACAGTGAAGCACACTGACACAGCCCCCTAGCAAAACACTCCCTGCACACAGTTAACCCTTTGATCGCCCCTCATGTTAACCCCTTCCTGCCCAGTGCCATTAGTACAGTGTCAGTGCTTTTTTTTTTTTAGCACTGATCACTGTATTGGTGTCACTGGGTACACCAAGTCAGTTCCCCCCAGTTTCAGAATTTCCACCGCAGTCCCGCTATAAGTCACTGATCACAGCCATTACTAGTAAAACATTTTTTTAAAAATACAGTATATATACCGCCATTTGTAAACACTATAACTTTCATGTATACCAATTAACCACTTGCCTGCCAAGCACTTATACCCCTTATTTACCAGGACAATTTTCAGCTTTCAGCGCTGCCGCACTTTGATTGCGCGGTCATGCAACATTGTACCCATATGAAATTTTGATCATTTTTTTTCTCACAAATAGAGCTTTCTTTTGGTGGTATTTAATCGCCACTGGGGCGCTTTACTTTTTGCGCTAAAAAAAAAAAAATGCAAAAAATTTGAAAAAAAAAAGTTTTCTTTGTTTCTATTATAAAATTTTTCAAACAAGTATTTTTTCTCCTTCACTGATGTGCGTTGATGAGACAGCACTGATGGGCACTGATAGGCGGCACTGATAGGCAGCACTAAAGGGCACTGATAGGCAGTACTAATGAGGTGGCACGGATAGGAGGCACTGATAGACAGCACTAATGAGGTGTCACGGATAGGCGGCACTAATATGCAGCACTGATAGGCGGCACTGATAGGTGACACTGATGATGGGTACTGATAGACGGTACTGACTGGCATCACTGCTGGGCACTGACTGGCGGCACTGACTGGCACAACCCCTGGGCACTGACTGGTGGCACTGACTGGCAGCACTGCTGGGCTGCACTGGTGGGTGGCACTGGTGGGTGGGCACAGGTGGGTGGCACTGGTGGGCACAGGTGGGTGGGCACAGGTGGGTGGTACTGCTGGGCACAGGTAGGTGGCACTTCTGGGCACAGGTGTGTGACACTGCAGAGTGGCACAGGTGGGTGTGCACTGCTGGGCACAGGTGGGTGATCTGCTGGGCACAGGTGGGTGGAGCTAGTGGGCGCACTGCTGGGCACAGGTGGGCGGAACTTGCGGGTGCCACTGCTGGGCACCGATCATCAGGGCACTGATCATCAGTGCCCTGATGATCGGTGCCGATCCTCGCTCTGACAACTGCCGGTTCTCGGCAGTACTTTCCTCACAGCGTGAGGAAAGTGCAGCCGAGAACCGGCACTTGCATTTCCCTCTGATCAGCGTGTCATTGGACACCGCTGCTCACGTGGTAAAAGGCCGCTGTGATTGGCCTTTTACCACATGACGTGATCAGCTGTGTCCGTAGGACACAGCGATCACGGAGATTGCCAGGTGCACGCCCCCTGGGGCGCGCAGGAGAGCGCGTTCTGGGAGGACGTCATATGACATCCACTCAGAACTGGCCGGCCGCAGTGCAGCCGTCATTCGGCAAAATTAGACAAAATTAGATTTTTTTACTGGGCATGTTTAATAGAAAAAATTAAAAACTATTGTTTTTTTCTCAAATTTGTTTATTTTTTTTATAGCTCAAAAAATAAAAAAAAGGACATACATTTCATTTGGGTACAGTGTTGCATGACTGCGCAATTGTCAGATAAAGTAGCGCAGTGCCGTAACGCAAAAAATGGTCTGGTCAGGAGGGGGAGGGGGGGTAAATTCTCTGGAGGTGATGGAGCAGAGGTTAAAGTGATACTAAAGGCTCAGCTTTAAAAACAAAACAACTACAAACGTGCCATACTTACCTGCTCTGTGCAATGGGGGGTAAATCCTCAGGAGGGCAAGTGGTTAAATTATTAAGCCAATTGTAATATTTCTTTCTTTAACGTAATAATTCTCCTCACAATAACATAACTACTAAAGTTAGGTAATTATCATTTTTTTATGGATTGATTATTTTTCTGTTCTTGGGCCGTATCAGCATACAGTTTTTCGTAGTTTTACACTTACTCCTTCTGCAGGGAAATAACAGTTGAGTTCCATAAAACACGGATTATTGCTTGCTAGTTAGTCATTAGTTATGTTGTCTACGGGGAGAAATTAATTATTGAATTTATTTACTATATACACTATATTACCAAAAGTATTGGGACGCTTGCCTTTACACGCACATGAACTTTAACGGCATCCCAGTCTTAGTCCGTAGGGTTCAATATTGAGTTGACCCACCCTTTTCAGCTATAACAGCTTCAGCTCTTCTGGGAAGGCTGTCCACAAGGTTTAGGAGTGTGTCTATGGGAATGTTTAACCAGTCTTTCAGAAGTGCATTTGTGAGGTCAGGCACTGATGTCGGACGAGAAGGCCTGGCTCACAGTTTCCTTTCCCAAATCATCCCAAAGGTGTCCTAATGGGTTGAGGTCAGGACTCCACCACAAACTTGCTCCATCCATGTCTTTATGGACCTTGCTTTGTGCACTGGTGCACAGTCATGTTGGAACGGGAAAGGGCCATTCCCAAACTGTTCCCACAAAGTTGGGAGCATGAAATTGTCCAAAATGTCTCAGTATGCTGACGCCTTAAGATTTCCCTTCAATGGAACTAAGGGGCCAAGCCCAAGCCCTGAAAAGCAAACCCCACACCATAATCTCCCCTCCACCAAACTTTACACTTGGCAGAATGCCATCAGGCAAGTACCGTTCGGGCAACTACCAAACCCAGACACATATATTGGATTGCCAGCCAGAGAAGCATGATTCATCACTCCACATAACACTTCTCCACTGCTCTAGAGTCCAGTGACAGCATGCTTTACACCACTTCATCCAATGCTTTTCATCGCACTCGGTGATGTAAGGCTTGGATGCAGCTGCTCGGCCATGGAAACCCATTCCATGAAGCTCTCAACACACTGTTATTGTGCTAATTTGAAGGCCACATGGAGTTTGGAGGTCTTTAGCTATTGACTCTGCAGACAGTTGGCAACTTCTGTACACTGTGCGCTTCAGCATGCGCTGACCCCACTCTGTCATTTTACGTGGCCTACCACTTCGTGGCTGAGTTGTTGTTGTTTCCAGTTGTTTCCACTTTGTTATAACACCACTAACAGTTGACCGTGGAATATTTAGTAGCAAGGAAATTTCAGATGGATTTATTGCACAGGTGGCAACCTAGAATGGTACCACGCTTGAATCCACAGAGCTCCTGAAAGCGACCCATTTTTTTTTCACAAATGTTTGTAGAAGCAGTCTGCATGCTTAGGTGCTTGATTTTATACACCTATGGCCATGTAGGTGATTGGAACACCTGAATTCAATGATTTGGAGGGATGTCCCAATACTTTTGGCAATATAGTGTATATTGTGGCAGTGCGGAATCCTGCCACGATGAAAATCAAGGTTATAACCCAGGATTCTCAACTATACAAGTTGAGGGGCTTCAGGCTGTTCTCTTAATGCAGAGGAAACTGGTTTTTCCATTTCCTCTTTGTTTTGTAAAGCCCGTTTTGGGACCTGTGGCCTGGAGATTTCTAAGTGATTTGGGAGGGATGAAATCTCCAATCCTGGGTCCGTATTTTCAGAACCCCCAACACACTGATTGCACAGGTGTGTGCAGGCCTTTTTGTAGAGGCCTAAACATGATTCTAGGCTGCACCCCGGCTAACAGGAGATCGTTGCCCAAGAGTCAGGAGAGCTCCACCTAGGAGAGGTGGGAGCCAGAGCAGCAAGGGGCTGCTAGCTTTGTGCAGAAAAAGCCATTTAGGAAGGAGTCTGCAGGAGATAGCTGTGAGCCTAAAGTGGAAGTCCAGAGCTGCAGAAATCTGTGTACAAGCCAGGAGGCTGAATATTTGTTTAATCTGTTTTGATGGTGGATACCCTTACGTAGGAAACATGTTATGGAACTTTCCTTTAAATAAAACTGGGCTAAAATGGCCCTGTTACAGACACATTTCATAACTTTTACGCAATTATCTTAGTGTCTATGTATATCACAATCTGACTATTAAGTGTTTATAAAGTGACTTTCTGTAAATAAATATTATTATATTTTCATAATCTTCAATCCATACTCACACTATTCTGATTGTGTTCTCAAAGAATTTTGCTTGGCTAAAAATTAACTTAAGTCAGTTAAATTATTTTTAAAAAATAATTTTTGTATCAGAGGAACTGTGATTCAATCGATTTAGCTGACTAAATGATTCATTCAGGCATTCCCTGACATTATCTTGTAGGATCTTTTGGTAAACTTGGGAATTAATTTTACCCTAGATAATAGCAAGTGGCCCAGGTCCTGAGGCAGCGAAGCAAACCCAAATCATGATGTTCCATCTACCATACTTCACCATTGGGATGATGTTTTGATGTTGGTAAGCTGTGCCCTTTTTGCACCATACATAGTGCTGAATATTCATCTCGAACAATTCAACTTTTGATCAGTCCACAAAACATTTTCCCAGTAGAGTTGTGGTTTGCCAAGGTGCTCTTTGGCAAACATCAGGTGTGCAGCAATATTTTTTTCTGGAGAGCAGTGGTTTTCTCCATGCCATGGAGTTCTGCCATGGACACCCTGCCTGTTCAAAGACTTATGTATGGTAGATTCATGAACAGGGATGTTTCCCAGTTCCAGTGATGTCTTCAAGCCTTTAGCTGAACTTGTGGGGGTCTTCTTTACCTCATTGAGGATTTTGCCTTGTGCCTTGGGAGTCATCTTGGCTGGGTGCCCACTTCTAGGCAGAGTAACCACAGTACTAAATTGTCTCCATTTATAGAAAATTTGTCTAACTGTCAACCTAATGGATGCTTAAACACTCTGAGATTGCTTTGTATCCCTTTCCAGCCTTATGCAGATCAACTACTCTTGATCATATGTCTCCAGAGACCTCCTTTTTGCGAGACATGTTGATGCTTCTTGTGAACAGCATTCTTAGTAGTACCCTCCTAGCTTAGAGTAGGCTGCTTGGTAAATTTAGTTTAGCTCCTCAGTAAACAGTGGAGCAGGTTTTGATTGCTTAGGGCTGCTCAGTATTCCACAGGTTGCAGTTCTGCTACTTCCCCATCTTCTAGAATCATAGTATAAGGGAGAGCAGAATATGCAGTCTGAATATTTATGAACCACCAGCCAATCGCTGGGGAGGTGTGCCCATAAGGTGGAGGGAGAGCCTATAGTTAGTCTGAGGCCTGAAAAGCAGGGGCTGAGTTCCTGAGTCCAGTCCTTCAGGAGGGGATTTCTGTGCTTGGGCTCTGCTCCTGGGGAATAAAGAGACAGAGAGGAAGCAGACATCGAGGTCTCAGCTAAGCTTAATTGGGGGCCTACAAAAAACAGCTGTATACAGAGATTGAGCAGAGTCAGAAGAGAGTTGGTGGGAGGAAGCCCAACCATTCTTGAACTGAGAGTAACTGATCCTTCTATACAGAGAATTTTTTTTACAAAGCAGCCAGAAGCTTAGCAGTCCTCAAGTTGTTCTACAGTTTCTGGATATCTCGTGCTCCCCATCCCTATCCAAGTTACTGTTGCAATAAAAACGTAAAAAGAAACCCCTAGACTGATGTTTGAGACAAAGGAAAAATGCTAAAGATGCCATGTGCTTGGCTGTGTATGCCATTGGGGGGGGGGGGGGGGGGGAATAGGTCTATATTACCAGTGGCTCCAGAAGGGGTGGCGCTACTAAATGTTTGAGTGTCTCTTATCAATCAAAGTAGTTGTAAACCACACCTCCAAACTCAGTTCATTAATTGGACTCTAGGTGTGCAAACTACTGACTCCAGTTAGCTTTCATTGAAGAATTTAGTCTGAACTCACTTACTTTTTCCTCCAGCAGTGTGAATGTTAATGGGTGTGTTCAGTAAAGACATGAGAAGTTAAAAGTGTTTGTGTGTTATCAGCTTAAGCACATTGTGTTTTTCTATTGTAGTGACTTACACTCTCCTGGCTCCTCTCCTTTGGCAGTACTGCTCCTCCAATTCCTGGTCTCACAGAAGACACAGGCAGCAGCGGGAGCCATAGGCTCCTGTTGCTATCAGTCAAACGCCTGTGAGGAGAGAGTGGGGTTGTGGCTTGCTGGCGCTGTGTATGTCTGTGGGTGCACGCAGCCCAGCTCAGCAGCATGCCTGCAGGGGTGCTCCCTTAGCAGCTAGCTTGCTAAGAGGGCAGCCAGTGAAGGCTGCAGGGGAGAGGAAGGAGCACTGACAATGGCTGGGACATTGGGGTCTATGGGTGACATCACCGCATCCCAAATTCCAAGCTATTGTCAAGCCCTCTCTCCTCTCCCTTGATGCCACCACTGAC